GGGTTTTGTGAATAAACCAAGAGTTCAATAAAGATATTTGTTATTCATTTACTATTACCTTTTGCCGTGTCTTCATATAGACATGATTGTGATAAAGTTATTGTAATTAATTTGACGGACTAAATTATATCATCTAAGTTTTATTTCCAGCCCTCTGGCTAACAACGTGATGTTTAAATTGTTCAAATATAATTGTAATGATGTGATGAATAATTTTAAATTAATCCTTTCAAACGCACCAAAGCAATTTGTAGATAAAATATTTTTAAGAGATTTCCCCAAGATAATTTTTAATGGGAATAAATGCCCATATTCATTAAATACATTTCGTAAGGCATTAAATGGTTTCATACTTTTGAGTGCTTTTCCTATAGCATAATTAAATTCATCAGAAGGTTTTATCTGATCTTTACTTATAAAAATCTCATACATTTCATATTAAAATACTAAATGAATATATTCCTTGTCTCTAAACTCATCATTTTTAATAAAAGGAAAGTTTCTTATATTTTTATTTGGAAAAATATCATTGGATATTAAAATCTCCTCCAATTTAGTTATTAGATTCATTAGCTCAAAATAAGATTCATCTCTTAATTTTACTGTGGGAATTTCAATAAATTTAATAGCAAGCTTCTTACTACATTCCATTTCATTTGATGTTTTGACCACAAAACCGTTAACTAGGTGAAAATCTTTAATCCATCTTGATAATTTACTATATGCCATATTTCCTATCCACTTGTCCAAAAAAATTTCTCCTTAAAATTGGTCATTCCAAGATGCTTATCTGATGATGATATTTCATCTTTTATAGAAACAAGGTCAACATAAGAAACAATTTTAATTATGTTATACTGATATAATTTGCTCAGCCAATTTGATAATTTTTAAAAAGTATTTAATACTGCTCCTTTTGAAGTTTCTAAGGTAAATTACTAAAGTCAAACGAATTATTATTAAACGGAGTTTCATTATTATTTCTATCCATATTATATGCCCAGATTATATAAAATTTCAAAATGTCTCTTTGTGTTAGAGTTGTTAAGTTGAAATTTTGATAAGTAATTGTCCACCAGCTAAAAATGTTTTTGTAATAAAATGCTCATATAATTTGTGTTATACTTTGTCATCTGTACTTTTTGAAAAACATTCTAATTGTTCAGCTCTATAAGTAATTTCAATGACTGGAAAATTAATGCACACATTCGAATAAACCCCAATATTATGATTTTCCATTGTGAATGTACTCATAGGAAAATCAGGATCGTTAATATTAACAAAAATTATAGGTTCCCTTTATATAAATTTATGAACAAATCGTCATCATCAACTAAAACAGCCTTTTTATTTGTTTGTACATTAGCTCTATTGCAAAATAAACCATAATTCAATTTCCATTGTTGTATGATTTTATGTTCGGTTAACGGATCATTTAAATTAGTGTCAGCTGCTGTTAAACTTAAACTGTTCGTCGTTAAGTTAACAAAGATTATTTGCTAGCAGGGAGTTTAAGTACGTCTAAACTAT